CCCCGCTCAGCCACTCAGAGGACTCCTGGCAGCGAAGGCAGCTTTGGGGGGCAGGGGGGACGGGGAGCGGGGGCCTGAGCAGGACCCCAGAGGACTTCCACCAGGCACTCCAGCCCCTCCCTGTTTCTCTCCTTGTCTCTATCTCTCTCTCCCTCTCTGTCTCTCTCCCTGTCTCTCTCCCTCTCTGTCTCTGTCTCTCCCTGTCTCTGTCTCTCTCTGTCTCTCCAGGGCCTGGCCTCCGGCTCGGGGATGGTCCCTGTCGCTTAGGGGGAGCTCGGGAGGCAGGCCTGCTGGACTCTCTCTGCACATGGGTTCCCTGGGGGAGGGTTTGGGCAGCCCCGTGCCCATTGCGGTTGGGAGCCCACATTCAGGTGGAACCTAAGTGAAGCTGAACAGAGACAATCCCCAGGGCTGTGGGGAGGGGCTGGAAAGGAGCCGGGCGTGTGGACAGAGCTGGGCCGGGGCAGGGCCTGGGGGCTGGCCTCCTGCCTTCAGGGGGCAGCTCCTGAGCAGGCAGCCAGGCCCGTGCAGCTCAAGGGGAAGGAGCCGGAACCATGACCCCAGCTCACCCACCGGCCTCCACTGGCCACAGAGAGGAGAACGGAGCCAGGACGGTGGAGTGGCCGGGCCAGACGAGGAGAAGCTGGTTCCCACCAGGCCGGCCCGCCACCGGCCCCACCAGGACCTGCTGTGGCCCAGGGGAGGCTGGCCCAGGGCAGCCATGGGACACGGAGCGGGCCCAGCGCCTCCCTGGTGCTCACGGCCCACGACCTCCATCTGCTCAAGTGTCCGTTCGCCTGGCCACTGACCACCAGGGCCCACTGGGGCCGTCGTCCAGCCAGCTTCCTCCATTGAGAGCCCGGCCGGGGCCCGCCCCAGCACAGGGCCCCTCAGTCCGGCCTCTGGCCCAGGGTCCTGGGCAGGAAATAAAGGCCAGTGCGGACCTGCACCCGGCTCTGGCCAGCAGTCTGCACCTCCTGGGCCCCCCTCACCCCCTCCTCAGCGGAGAGGAGCCTGACCCTGCCTGGCAGGGGAGGAGGCGGCCGGGGGCCCAGGGTACCGGGGTGAGAGCAGCCTCGGTCCTCTCCCTTGGTGAGAGCCAGCGTGGGGGGCTGGGGGGGGAGATGGGATGACACCAAGCTCAGTGCTGACCCCCTGCGGCACTCAGCACTGCCCGTCACCCACACCCCAGCAGGGGTGCCGGGGCCCCAGCGGGGGACAGAGGGGTGCTGCCCACTGTGGGTGGTGGGACCCAAGCAGGTTTCAGATGCAGGCACCCAGCGGAGTGGGAGACAATGGGCCCCGCTGTGGGGAGGGCACTCGAGGGGCCCTTTACCCAGGGGGCAGTGGGGCAGGCTCCACAGCAGATCCCCGAAGAGGGCAGCAGCCCGTGTCCTGGGGTGTCCTGAGGGCCCCGCCGGCTGAGGGAGGGCTGGGGTTGGGGGGACATTTCCAGCTGACAGGAGCCTACGGGCCACACCTCTCCCAGCTCACAGGGAGGCCGGGACCACAGTAGTCCTTCCTTTTCCAGCCAAGCTTCCGGAACGCGTTCTCTGCCACCAGCTTCCCAGTCCCCGCACCGTCCGGGGGCACCGTCCAGAGGCCGCGGCCCCAGTGCCGCCCCCAACTGTTGCAGGTCCGATGGGGGGACAGAGGGGGTGCTCCTGCCAACACTGCCCCTGGACCGGAGGACTACCTCGGCTCCAGGGAGTTACTTGCCGTTATTACTTGGAAAACAGCACTTTGTGTCCAGCTGGTGTGCTCAGCGGGCGAGCGTCCACCTATGAAGCAAGAAGTCCCTGGTTGGATTCAGGCCAGGGCAGATGCCACGGTTGCAGGTTCGACCCCCAGTAGGGGGCGTGCAGGAGGCAGCCAATGGATGATGTGTCTCTCTCATCAATGTTTCTCTCTCTCCCTCCCTCTCTCTCTCTAAAAAGCAATAAAAACATTTTTTTTAAAAGAAAGAAAAACTACTTTTTAAAGAAGAGGGTTCCATTCCCTGGTGACGGACGGTCAGGAGGGCTGGGCCGGTGTCTGGGCCGCTTCCCCAAGCAGCCCCTTCCTGGGAGGGGAGGACTAGTGGCCCCGACGGGCCTGGCACCCGATCCCCCGCCCCACAGGGCTCTGGTCGCGGTGTCAAAGAAAAGGCCCGGCCCGCCCCTGGGCACCAGCGCCGGAGGGATTCTGAGAATAGGTTCTGGGACAACTTGTCATTTAATTTGCAGAACTGATCAAACAGGGCGGCTCACCCCTTCTCCTGTGGGCAGCAAGCTGTCCACAAGGATCCCTTCCTCCTTGGCCTGAATCCTGCTGCTGCCTGGGACCCCCCGGCTTTCCCACGCCGACTCAGACTCAGCTCAGATGAGCCCTGAGCCGTCCTGGTGGGGGTGGGGGCGCTGCGGCCATGTGCTCCCTAAGACCCAGGGCCAATGCCTTCCAGGGGCCCTGCAGACAAGATGTCAGGAGAGATTGGGGTGCTCCATGAAGCTGGGGGGCGCTGGGGTCACCTTCCTCTGTTTGCCACCTGCCGAAGCTGCCTGTCGGGTAGGTGGACATGGCAACAGGCCTATGACCGAGGGTCATGCAGCTCTCAGAGGGGGCCTGGCCCAGAGAGACTGGCGGGGAGAAGCTCCGGGTGGAAGGAGCAAGGTCTCGGGGGACAGGACCTAGACTCCCCGGGGCGCCTGAGCGGCCTCCTGGTACAATTGGGGAAAAACCAAACAAACTGGAAACAGAAGCACACACAGAACTTGAAAGCGGCCAGAGACAGTCACACTAGCGATCCGTGTTAAATGTTTCCCTTCGGCAAAGCGTTCTCACACATACGCCTCGCCCGAGCCCCGAGCCCCCAGCAAAGCTCTGCTCCGCCGGCTCCTCCACACGGTGGCCCAGCTAGCAGCAGGTCTGGGATCACGGCCAGCGCCCCCCGCGGTGGGGAC